TTTTGGCATTAATTCAAGTTGCTAAAGACCAATACTGACGAGTTGTTCAGAACTTTTTCACCGTTGCGGCTGGAGACCCTTAGATTGCCATGTTCTTGCGTGCAGTCATTGCTTTTGAGCGCTAGAAGACCTGAAGGCAATCATCAAGTACGCAACTGAGACTCGGAAAGACCACAAATCACATCTATGCCTCCCACCCAGATAAGACAGAGCAAGCAAAGTTCAAATGTGGCAATTACTTGAGCTCCCCGCAACCTGCCTACGTCGTGTGGGCCTTTGTTTCGACCCTAGAGTTGCCTTCAACTGAAGGCGAACGCAGTCCACGACCCCGTAGACAGGTGGAAATTAGTCACATGATGGTTGTGACCGATCTCTCTGCGCGCCACCATTAAAAGAGATCAGCATTTGTTTGATCCATGTCCATGCGGCTGCAATATCTGCGTTGTCTGTGCTGAACCGCGTGACCTTAACGTCCAAAGCATCGGTCCGTGGTGGCTCATGTGGCTCATGGTAGCCAAGGCAAGCCACTTAAGGGAGCCATGGCCATGGCCCTTGCCTCTCCGGTGTGGCAAACATGGCCGCACCCAGCTGCAGCCGCCACGCCAACACCGCGGCTTCGGCGGCCTGAGAACCGAGGCTTTCCGGCACAAAGAGCATCCTGCAGTCTAGAAGACGGGGTAGTTTACTGCCTGATGTGTGTCCCAGCTTTGAAAGTGACAGCTACGGTTTGGGCTGGCTGCTTCCAAACTTCCCAAGATCTGATAATGCATTGCTGAACGATGCTAAACATTTCAAGCTAACCAATTTTGACATCGGTGAAGCGTGACTCCGCCTTATACATTTTGCCAAGCACCCAAGGTAGCGTCGCACGCTCGAGTCTTGTTCGTTTAGCTGCTGCGGTTTGTGGTTCCCCGGCTTTGTCAAAGCTCTGATGTGCTTGAGATGCCTTTTCGTAATCCATTCGTGCTGCATGCTGATAGCAGGATATAGCACGGAGGTGCTGATTCTACTTTCACTGGCTACTTAAGTGATGCTTGCGTTCGGAGGTGTTTCCCGCAGCCATTCCGTGCTGCGCTTTGGACGGGATAGTTGAGATGAGCTGCCTCACTGCAAAAGGATTTGTCTCGGCCAGATCGTTCGCGACCATGGAGAAGGAAGCCCCAGGACGGAGCTCACCCGGACTTGCTTCAGAGTGTGATCATCGTGTGATCGTGTTTGCGTCGTTTGCATCCGGTCAGATGACCTCGCTTCACAGCGGCTACGCCGAACGTCGCAGAATGCTGATGGCCGTGTGCTGGATATCTCCGCCCCTTGCCGCCACTGCCTGCTGAGATTTAGCTACTCTTATTTAAGCGCCACACGAACCCATCACAATGAGGGACTGTCTAGCGGACCCCTGGACAATTTCAGGGCCTGAGCGTGTAGTGTAGGCTAAGGCGGACATGGAGGGTTCAGGCTCCAGGCCCGAAGTCTGGAGTCCGCTTAACACCAGGATTGTGAAACGTATTCGTTGGTTGCCATCTCAACTTACACCACCTAAGCCGAACTGGGTGATCCATGGTTCGTACAGAGTGAGCTTGGGTCATTTCAGTTGGAATCGCGTTAGACTACACCAGCCCCAAACAACATCAAACCCCCAGCGAGCTGTAGAATGCCACACGTGATTTCCTGAATCCAGGCGTGAGAGTTGTTGGGAGCATGCGGAAGAGCTGCACAGGCATTTCCATGAACCATCTTGTAGCCAAGGCCGAAAAGATGAAGGCGGTGTATCTTGGCAGCAAGGGTGGCAAGTGCCGCCATGTGCCGCCACACAAGGAAAACATCTGGGTCGCAGGCCGGTAAAGAACTTGCCTGTACAGTGATTCTGGCGCTATTCTTGGGCTCCGTGCCTTTGCTTAGGCCTGTGGCGAATGCCACAGTTGCCGGCATGAACGATCTGCTTCTCAGCTAAGACTAGTCACCGTCAGTATCCCTAATTCCGCTCAAAGCCGAAGGCTGAAACCCTGCAATGTCCAAGATGTCAGGATGAAGCGGGAGGCTGTGACGATCTTGGCTTCCGGTGCTGAGCACACCGAAGAGATTGATCGGAAGAAAGGCGGCTTGCTAAGACTGCTAAGGTAGACGCCATGTGCAAGACGTTCATTTCTCGCTGCTACTCGAGCCTTTTGGAAGTGTGCCGGTGCAGTGGCCTGCCAGAACTTGCCCAACATTGCTGCACCCGGCAGCTCCACCTTAGTTCTCCACCTGTCAGCCCCTGCAAGGGATTTGGCTTGCATACATGAAGCCCACAACCATGGGAACGTGGAGGAACCAGGCCAGCTCCTTGGCCTGCAAAAAGCATGTTGCAGCAATGTGCACCGGCTCGGTGGGTACAGGAAAACCCCGCAGAGAATGGGCATGCATAGTGCAATGATGTGCAATGCAGCTCCCAAACCATCTGGAAAGCACCTCTTAAGCGTCGGAAGTGTGTCACGTCATAGCCTAGGGCTGACCTGCAAGCTGGCATTGAAGCCTGGAGTGCAGGGCTCAGGGGCTTACCCAATCTCACCTGGCTACAAGATGCTGCAAGATCTCTTAATTAGAAGAATGCTTCTCCGCACCTCTCAGGCCGTCAACGTTGATGTTGTGGGCCTTGAAGTCGGCAATTGGGACGAAGATGTGCAGAAGTTCAAATTCGAATCATTTGATGATACTCGTTCCGTACAGTGAAGACTGCCATTACGCGGAGCAGCTTCCAATAACCGGACATGGCATGCTACTTCAGGAAGATACCTTCAACCTGACTTGGCAGAACAGCATGACCTGGAGAGAAAGAGGTTCGGATCTTGCCATACAGCGCCCGGCCTGCCATTAAATATTAATCGGCGCTGCTCAACAGTCCTTTGGCTTCTACAGCAGAATCCTTATGCGCTTGCCTGGAGGCATTCTTCTCGAGGCTCAATTCGTATGGTGATTCCGTGGTGGTTCCCTCTTCCAGATGCTGTGGTCAAGGCAACATTCCAGGCCGGTATCCGTTATATGCTGCTCACTTGCATAGAGGTGTACCACCGCGTGGTGGCCTTGATCTCTACATGGTTCCAGCATGTTCCAGCATGCGCATGACATATGTAGCTTTGGCACTCTGCAGAATTCATCTGCCCAAATGGTAGGCGTGAGCAGACCAGGACAAGTCTTTCTAGCTCTTTCAAATGGTTTCCAGTGCGGTACTCATCGCGCAGCAGACCGTTGCAATGATAATCAATGATAATCTTGACAAGTCCTAGGATGGCATGTGCTGACAGCATACGGTTTGTTCCGTGAGTGAATCAATTGTTCAGCATGCTCAGGATTTCAGACGGCCAGTCTAAGATCGCTGCTGCTGTGAAGCGAAGATATGCAGCTGTAGAACAGAAGCGGGCATGACCTTCACAGCCTGTCTCGCAAAGGCCCTTCTTGGGGTTTTCTCAGCCTTCTCCGTCACTGCCCAGGGTTTCACATGAGGGTTGATCTAAAGGTCCGTGTAGGAAGTTTATTTGGATGAACCACCAACATGGCAAGATATTGCTTCTCGAAAGTTTCACGATGTCACCGCGAAAGGCAATTTCTTTTTCGCGCAAGCTTTTGCGTAATCAAACTTGCATACCTGTCTAGGCTCTCAGTTCTGCTAGGCTGTTGCTCTGAATAACGCTCATTGCCAGGTTTCTCATTAGGAGGAAGGACATTAGTTCTCGGACCCGCTCTATTTCAATTCCATCCTTCTCACTTAAAGTTTATCCACGCTAGATACTCTTCGGGCTCTAAGCCTGGAAAACACGGCGCTCATCCAGACAGGCAGCGTAAGTTTGCACGAAAGTTTCGTGTAAGTACCGTGTAAGTAGAGGTTCCAATCTGTGGGCAAGAGCTCGCAGTAATTAGATACGTGTGCACTACAGCCAGGATATGGAGCCCAGTAGGGTTCTTCTCTCCCACCCGCTTTGGGCCTGAACGTGTGGGTTGGAATCGGACCCGGGAGCCTTCCCAGCCTCCGAGCTTGCCCTTGGCAGCGCAGGTCTAGGCTTAAAGATTTTGGGCTTGAGGATCAGGGCAGCCCAGATGGGGGCAGCGCATATGATATCCAGCCCGCCGTCGTTTGACAGAGTTCGGCATAGTTCGGCTAACCCTCCTCCCGCCCTGAGCCGTTCGTCAAAGCAGCCGGCTCCTCCGTCTAAGCCTGCGCATCTCGGCTAATCCCCTCCCGCTCCGCAGACGTTCGTAACAGCCCTGGGGGGTTCGTCTAACCTTGCGGGGGTTCGTGACGGGTTTGCAGGGTTCGTGTGCAAACTAGATTCGTGCCATCTTGGGCGATTCGTGAGAGCCGGGTTCGTGCCATCGTTCAAGCACCCCGGGTACTTTTGTTTGGTCCCGGTAGGCCCCAGGTTCTTGATCTGCTCCGCCTGCCTCGGAATGCACACATTCGCGGCTAGGTTGTGGGCGTTCGTCAAACCATGCCGGGTTCGTACTAACCCTGGTTGGGTTCGTCTAACTTCATGTCAGGCCTGGAGGCTTCGTGGAAGCTGTTGCCCTTCGTTCCAAACAGTCTTCAATTACAACCTTTCGAATAGTTCATTTTTGGGAACCATGGCGCTGCTAACTTCGCTTAATACCTATGGTCACTTCGGGATGAGGGAATTAGATCAACCCCCACATGGGCGGGACCTGTGTCTGAGGAGGCTAGCTAGATCATTTGTGCTGCAAGCACGAGACTGTTCTCCCGCCTTGTCGTCCCAGTACAGGCAGGATTCTGGGTCGTCTGCGGCGTGGCAATATGCATGTAGCCCGCAAGGCGCCTGCTAATATGCAGTCAAGGTAGTGCACGGAAAAGACACAATGTTGTGCTCCTGACCGTGTGCCAGACTCAGAGATACAAAAAGCTACGTTTTGCCAAATGCTCACGCTGAAATCCTTGCATACACTTTGTGCAGCTGGGCTGATTTGCATCATGACAGGCCACAGGTTCTTGCAGCTTGTCACGTTTCGCACAGGTACAAGCGCTGGCAGTGCGGGCCCAGTCTGATGTCTTTGTTCAGGACTTCCACATGCAACAAGGATTTCAGCAGTGCATCCCATTGCGTTTGTGATTCTTTCATTCTGCCTCTCGAGGCTCCAGGTCTCTCAGTCATGATTTTCAGATGCTTTGAGCAGCTGAGCCAAGGGGCCCACGACATGCTGCGCTGTTGCTAATTGCAAAGTCAGAAACCACGATAAGCTTCCAGGATGGTCGATGCAGTCTTTTTGGTTGTATTTAGAACTAGTCAGCTGTTGCAAGCCTCCCACTTGCAGTTTGATCAGTTGCAGAACCACCTGGCTTATTCAAGAGCGATGGCTCCCAAGAACGGCAAGGCCGCTGCAAAAGCTAAGGAGGGAAAAGCGACTGGACTGGAAAGGTGGTGATGAGACAGGGTCTCAGGAGCTTGCCTCATCTCAGGATCTCTCTTGGGCACGCAAGCAGCTCGACAAAGTTGCGGCCCAGAGACTGGCTGGGCCTGCTTGGCTGTCAGAGCCACATAGCTGGCACCAGGAGCCTCCTGCAATGCTGCACTCTGCCCGAAGTTATGAGATGCAAGAATTGTATGCTCCCAGGAGCAGCTGCAAGATCTGCTCCTTCGCCTGGAGGAAGGCAGCCTCAGTCTTTCCACTGAACTGCGTGAGGGCGTCGAGTTTTACCTCTCACAGCACCTTAGCGGCCGCGCAAATGGAACATGTTCAGCTGTCCCGTTCCCTCAACAAGGTTTGAGGATGGGCAGGTGGTCTCTGAAGAGGAGTTTTACGTAGCAGCCGTGCTGCAACAGAAAAGACTTCTTGCGACAGTGTGATGGTACAGTACCCGTAAATCAGCTCAAACGCGAGATCAGGGTAGACTTAACATAACTTAACATACAAGTCCCCTTAGCATTGTCGAACTTTTCAACTTTATGTTGCGGAGTTGTGATTTTTCAAGCATTGAAAGCCAATATGCGTTCTTAGGGCTTAGGGCTTGACTCTCCTTTACTGGCCCGGGGATTTTGTTGCGGATGTTGGTGCTGCGGGCTTGGGGTTAAGGGTGCAGAGCTTCAGGTTTAAGTCAAGTACAGAGGTATGGCATGGTGGGGAGTTCAGTTCAGGCCTGACAAGGCAGCTTCTCGCTGGGATCTAGGCTGCTAGGTTCAGGAAGATCACACCGTCAAAACCGTAATGGACAGCGACAGCGCTTTAAAGGAACTTGTCCAAGCAGCAAGCTGCTTTTTTGTGACGCGGCCTCAGGACAGAGATCTATATGCGGAGCTGCAGCCTTCTGCCCCAGAGCCAGAGCAGCCCTACACCAGAATCTTGGCCTCAGAGGCTGAGCGAAAGCGGGGTTTCGAAGCCTTCAACTGAGACGGCCCTGCAAGGTGGAGCTAGCAGCCTGTGAGGAGCTCAAGGCATGGACGGAGACAACTCCGCATGGCCTGACCAAGGCAGGCGGACATCCCTGCGAGCAACTTTTTAACTGGCTTGCACATGCTTGCACTCTGTGGAAGGTGTAGCCCTTCCGAAGACCACTCCATGCAGACAATATATTGACAGCACATGACAGCACATTTGTTCAAGTGGGGCATTTGAGCCTCAGCCAGCCATAGCCCACCAGTCGTTTACCATTGAGGTTCTGAATGGTTCTGACACTTGGAAGACAACAGACAACCATCCCTGGACGAAGGGCAGCCGCAGTTGGATCCAAAACAATGTCCACACACTGATGCATCAATTCTGGAAGAACGCAACATGCTTGTCCAACTGGCGCGTCAAAAAGAATGTTGGAACGAGGCTCGGAAGGGCCGGTGCCACAATTTGTTGCGGGTTGTTTCCCCTTCGGAGTTCCACTGAGGTCATGGAATGAAGCACCTCATATGGTTTGCAGAACATCGACCCTTGTCTCCCTTTGCACTGTCCTCTCGTCGCATTTCCAGTTGCCTTGCTTCTCCTGGGTGATGAGCTGCAGGATGGCTGACTGGATAACTGAGAGGAAAACAACCAGTGGAGGTGGGATGGTCAGATGGCAGGGAGCCATACTCCTCTCTTCATGATCTCCTCTTCTCCCTCCTGTCCACCTCTTGCGATCGGGAACTGGGTTGCGTGATTCGCCCTAAGGCGAAATTGTAACCTTTCGGCTTCAAGGGCAGTGTGAGATGCCCCTCTGCAGAGTTGCAATTTTTGTCTCACTTACCGCTCTTGTCTTCCTTACTGTCTGCTGTCCTCAGCCCATGGACCTGCCTGCCGCTCTGGTTTCTCTTGCTGTTTGGTTTCTGTTCTTGTGTCTCTACCTGGGACCAGGACATTTGATGCGGCCTTTTTGCGGACTTGAGATATTTCAAATATCTACAGTTGTTCAAACCCAGGCTTAATTTTTTCGGCTTCCAACAAGTTTTAATCTTCTAGTATCCGATCTTCCAGTCAAGTCTCCCTTCATAGTCTCCTGTTGTTTTCTTTGCCTCCCTCCATCTCCTTCCTCAGGTGTGGCATCAGGTGGTGGTGTTGTATGGTCTTGTGCCGCACTACAACGCTGTGACCCCACTACGTAATCTCCTTTTGTTTCCAGCTACAGCTCCTAAGCCCTGCGCTAGAATTATCTCTAGCCGCCCAAAAGCTGAAGAGAACAAGAAGGCCCTGTGCATCAGTCCAGGGCCAAGATTATCTAAACCAATAAGCAGATGTCGATGTGACGCGATTGATGGGCTACGCGCTCCCAAGGCCAGAACACGGCCGCGGATACCTTGGTCCATTTGGTGTAATGACTTGAGTTGTTCAAACTGGCACCCGGAGCTGTATGGAAACAGTTGGGTGTGAACTGAATGGATGGTTTCTGAGCATTGCGAGCTCTAGCAGCTTTGTAGTTCGGAATTAAGGCACTTATCTGGGAAGAGGGCGCAACAAATAAACAAGCCTCTGCATAAAGACGACATGACGAAGTATGTGCGCGTCATGCCTTCGTGGCTTTTGAAAGATGCCCTGCCTCTCAGCTCCGGAAGCTGATGGAGAAGCATGCAGATTGTGCAGAGGTGCAGGCAGGATCCTTAGCAGCTACGAGTCGAGTTGTCTATCCACTCAAATCCTCTGAAACGGTCCCGTCCAGGAAGCTGGCCTGACTCGCTCGGGTGGGTTGTTGGCGGAGGCTGTGGCCGCCAGCATCGCTTTGAGATGCGTTGAGAATGGCCGGTCCGTATCTTCTACGTGGTTCATAGGTCAAAGCTGGCGGAAATGCTGTGCCTTCTGGCTGTGGCTTCAGCCCCGCGTCGCTATGCCCTCTTGTGCTGGAGGTGTGCGTCCAGGGAAGCAGGTGGTGCAGTCAGAGCAATATAGAGCAATTATGGCTTGTGGTCTCAGGCAGCTAGTGAAGAAATGCATACATGTCATGTCAGCAACCTAGCATTTTCTGGTATCCGCACATGCCCCTTGTCATGTCACAGTATATTTGCGGATCGGTGGTCGTCTGTTCATGTTGGGCTGAAGGCCATGGGCCGATTCCCACGTGATGCGGGTGTTCAGCGGGTAGCGTGCAGTGTACTCAGAGGCCTGTGTACTTCAAGTCGGCAAGGGCAAGGGCTGCGATTGCATCCTGGTGGATGGGTTGCATCAGCCACCCGCAGTCAGTGCACATACAGGAATGGGCTTCACCTCTTTGGAGTCTGAACGTTCCTTGAGCCATTTGTACACATTGTGCATTGAGAAGGAATTGTCGTGACAGATGGTGGCTGCACTGTGGTGGCGGATGCAGGAGGAGCGGCGCGGGCAGTTGATGCCGTGAAGGCCCACCTGATTGACCCAGAGGTTTGCAGAATGGGTGCAGCGGTTCTGTACGCTGCTCGGCTGAATGGCCGCAAGTCTAGATCATTATGATCACATGATATTGGGTATGCATTCCATTTGGGTGCAAAACAAGATTACATCCTTGTTGGACCACGCCTCCCGTTCAGAAAAAGGGATCGCAGCTCTGGCCAAGGCCATGGTCCAGAAGACAGACCCGGCATCTCCTGAGCGCTTAATGATGCGCACCACCAAGGCGCACCAGGTGCTTGCGGAGGCAGAAGCATGGGGAAACGCCTGAAATTCTGTTTGTTTCTCAAACTGTGGCCCTCCAAGCCATTTCTTTATTGCTCCATGTCTGCGTCAGACAGCGAAGATGGATTCGTGATCCCATCCTACTCATTCCAGAGGGTCTGGATCAAAACCACCGATGGTGTCAGGTCCCCACATCTATCTATCGAGCTCCTGCAGGTTCCTCTACTATGCTTGGTACTGATTCCCGTGATTCCCCGTGGTCATTACCCAAAACCCGCGGGTCCTGGTACAGACAATTTGCATGGAGAAGTGAATGAAACACTACCTGCCGCTACTTGGTAATTAAAGCACATGGTGAGGGAGCTGTACATTGAACCGCTTGCTTGTTCCTGCGGCTTGCTCCGACGATAGAAAAGCCCTTGCAAGTCTGTCACCTGTTTCTGTTGCAGGCTCTGCAGTATCATCCTACAGATCGGGCGTTGGACCGCGCATGTCGTGTGACAATGCCAGAGCTGAAAGGCTGACACAACAGATGCCCAATGAGTCATGCAGTGTCATGCACAGTTTCACCCCTTAGCTGAGCGCCCTGAAGTCGAGCTCTCAAAAAGGTAGCCCCTTGCCCACTCTCTGAAATGATGAGAACACTGCGCGGGAGGCTGGAGGCAACGTTGAATTCTGGGGATTCCTTTGCCGGCATGAAAGACCACCTAAAGCACAGGCTGTGAGTAAACAACGCATATGGCCATCAACGCTTCCAGATGGATCTCGACCTCTACAGCAACATCCACCCTCTACTTCCGTATGATAGGGAGTCTCCTGCATAGTTGCATCGCCCTTTAAAAAGCTTTTCGTTTTCTTTTAGAAAGGCTTGTGCTTCCCTAAGCAATTGTGTGACACCAGGCTGGTTCTGGATAGGGCAAGTTGTATGGCCCGAGGGCCTGCTTCATGTGCCTCCCCCAACCTCTCATCCTGTACGTATGGTGGATGGTTGTGAGGTTTTGTACCAGGAGTTCAGGCTCGTATTCTTGCTTGGAATTGCTCAAGTATGGTGATTTCGAGCAGCTAGCGGCATTTGATTTGAGGGATCTGCACTGCCGCGGAAGTATGACATTAACTCTGCATAATGAGAACTCCGTCTGAATCGTGAATCTTCCAGTTAAACGCTATCTCTGCATCTTCGGGATGTTTTGGTTTGACGTGTCCCTGGAAGTTGCCAGAGTCTTGGCATCAGGGCGGTCGTGCAATCACAATAAGCGCAATACAGGATCCATCTTACATCAGGTGCAGCGCGAGGGCATTGATGCCCACAACCAGACCTCGTTACAACGGAAGCAGAAGACTCAGAAGACTGCGCCTGAAGACAGGCCCCAGCGAGGTGATTCGCGACAACTGCAAAAACCCTGGATCGATCTTTTAAATTGCGGTTTAAAGGCCTCATTCTATTCAATTCTTTTTAATGCTCACTATGTGATTGTACCCATCGGTGGCCGAAGGACAGAGGTCAAGCGCGCAGCTCAACCCCGTTCAACCCGCGGTCCGTCCACTCATTTGGTTTGGTTGCGTGCGAACGATGTGCAGGATTGAGTTTTGAACAAGATATGTCAGGTCATGCTTATTACTAGCCACGCCCAGATGCATGCTGTAGCATGATGATCAACATCATGTGGCTTTGTCGACGTCAACCCGAAGATAAAGTGTCACCACCTTGCAGTATCTTGCGGTTGGAAAAGCTTCATGGGTTCACAATAATTACTTCATTGCATTGGTGGCTGCAACTGTGGGTGCATGAAATCTTGACTGATTCCACACATTTCCTCACTGACTGTCATCGTGCGACATCATCAGCTTTGAATGTAAACTGTTTCAACCATGGCTTACGCATGGGTCAAACTGGTTTTGCTGACCCCCATGCATTGTGAGATATCATCACTTTTGAGTGTAGACTGATTTCAACCATGGGGTAAAGCTGTTTTTACTTGCTGCCAGGCATCGTGCGACATGATTACTTTACAGTGCAAGCTGGTTTCAATCAGGGTTTACGCACGGTTCAAAGTTGTGTCGACATATTTATTCTTGAATGCAAGCCTGTTTCCACAACGCGTTACACAGGGTTCAAAAGCTTCTTGTGCTGACTCCCATGCATCGTGCAACATCATTGCTTTTGAATGCAAACTGGCTTTAAATGGGGCTTGCGCATGATTCAAACTTGTTTTGCTGACTCCAATGCATCGTGCGCCATCAAGAATTTTTGAGTACTGCAAATAGTGTACCACCCTCCTGTTCTAAACTGGCTCACCGCATATTGTCCTTCCATGGAGACGCTGTGTTTGCATTCTGGCTGCAGCAGCTTTTTGCACGGGTTTTGTACTTTTGTGCGTGTGCAGCCTCAGCATCTCTTTAGGGCTCGAATTTGGGACAAATAGATTCTGGAACCATGCAGGCAATCTCTTCATCCGCAAATGCTATTTTTGCCCGGGTGCATTTGTTCGCTTGCTTAAGTCTGCATTGGTTCGTGGAAAGCCTTACGTGCAACAGACTACATGCACCAACACCCTGTCAGGGACCTACAAGCTTGACAACAAAGCGGCTCACGCGAGAAAAAATCGCATAAAATCAGAACCCCCGCCCTGTGCAGGCAATGCAGGCACAATTCCTTGCAATCGCGCTTCATGAAGATTTATTTGAGCTCGGGATGCTTTCCTGGAAGGTCAAGCGCAAGACTTCGTTTAACCCTTTTTCAAACGACAGATTTGGAGAATTTCCCCGAAGTTCATTGCAATTCAATGCCAAGCTGATCAAGAATTGCAAGCTGTCAGCATTCGTGCAAAGACCCGTTTTTTTTTTTCTCATGTTTCCGTTCCTCAAATTCAACAAATATTGAAGTCTCAGCGTTTGGATGCCTGCACGAGACACGGCGCTACTGTGTAATTAAAGGCGAGGCGCTTTGAAGCTTAGGATTTGTTGGAGCTTTGATCTTGAGGTTTTCTGCTTCTGAACATGGAAGCGAAATGGAATCCACAATCTGCAGCTTGAAGCAGGCGCATCTCAGGAATGTCGGGCGAGACCTTGGTGCGCCTGGGTCTTGTTTCTTCTTACCGAATCCTGAAACCTCAACATAGGATCCAGATGGGCAAGCCAAAGAGGAATCTTTATAGCACCTGATGGTCCGCACGCTCTTGCTTACAGCTTGCTTCCAGGAGCACATCAAAGTCGACAAGCTGGGACAGACTGCCTGCAAGCCGACAGCGGCCTCTCTGCAGCACTCATGTCCCAGGCAAGGTTTGTTCTTCTCACAGCCAGGGAAAGCACTGGCAAAGATTCGAATTCTGCTCAAGAACTCAGGACATCTCAGGACTATACAGTGTGTAGATGGTTGTAAGCACAATCAGCTTTTTATTTCAGAGCACGGGCAGCAGTGTGCGTCAGATCATCATGAAAACCTAGCGTTCCGGCGAAGTGCTGCGCGCTAAGATCACCTGCTACTTCGGCAGCGCTTAGCCCAGACACTGTCCTGGCTGAGCAAACACGACCTGTTGCCGACCGATGTCGGGACACATGCAAAGCTTAATCATCGATCTCGCTGAGGGGTCATGGATCTGTCCAGCTGCGAGCGTGTTTTAATGCTTCCATGCTTTCATGCTTGAGGCTGGGCTGCGGAAATTCCGGCAAAGGCTCGCCCTCGCACTTCTTAGATGAAAAAGGTCAGGGTCAGCGAGTTCAAGGGCGATCGCAGCTACAAGAAGTGGCTGCATGAATTTGTATCATTTGTGCAGGTGCCGAAAGGGAAGCGACTGAGGCTGACAGATGATGAGCGAGCCCTCCGGCCAAAAGCATTCGAAGCAGTGCTGTGTGCCTTTTGAGGGAACATCATGGCGGAGCTTGGCTCTGCGGCTCAAGTCACTGGTCCTGCTGCGAGCACATGTAGCTGCTGACCTCGCTGGCCTTGCAAGAGGTGTAGGGTAGGCAGGGCACCTCAGCTACGGTGCGGATGCATTAGATTCGAGTACTTACAAATGGCAAGGTTCATGAGACCTTGCTGGGGCGTACAGTGTCAGGTGCTGGAGCATGGCGACGAAATTGTTTCTGCTGCTCTACAGTGGATGGCAGAACCAAGGCTCGGCTAGACTTGATGCGGGCGAGAAACGCCTAGTGGCTAGCAGTCGCAGAAACTTAAAATCAACTGGGAGCCAAAGTCGCACTGCACAAGTTGCATCTTGGGGCTGGGTGGGACTCAATCCTTTTCTGCTGTGTTATGTGTCAGGTAACGCGCATGCCCCCACATGTTCGATTGATGGCAAGCACTATATGGCAACTTGTTTCGCAACATCATTGTGTGAGAGTGAGAGTTGCCAGCAAGGTTTGCCCTGCTTGCCAACTCCTCTGTGCACTCACTTAGGACGAAAAGGTGTGGAGCCCCAACGGGGGTGTCCAGACGGACGCATCAGGCAAGTCAAATTTTCAGCCCTGATGTCCACATTGGGTTATGCCCCGTGTAATCAAAGTGCAAAGTTAACAGTCTTCTCGGCAAGTGTGGGATGTAAGTAATGTGGAGCATGATCAAAACACGCTGGCACCCTCGCAGCCTGTTCAGAAATGGCGGAGGGATACAGAGGGCCTTCTGAAGGGATAGGACATAAACGCCATGTGCCTTGGTTGCAGGCTGCCAACGGGCAGCTTGCCTGCAAACCATCTTGAAGATAACATTTGGCTGCTCGCAAGCTACCTGTGACGAAGCCTAACCAAGGTGTGTCTGGCAGACGTCGGGTGCTACTCGAACGATTTTCAAGACCTCCAGAAATTTTAAGACTTCAGCTTCCCACTTCAGAGTAAAGGATTTAGGTGTGCTTGTGCCGACAGGATGCGTTGTTGAAGTCAGCATTTGAATCCGCTGAACAGAGCGCACCTTCGCTTGCATCCGGCTTGCATTGTAGATTAGTTCAGGTTCGTTCTGGACATTCTACAACTCATCGCATATGCGGCCTTGCTGATCAAGCTATAGCCATTTGCATAGGAACTTGCCTTCATGAAAAGCTGGAGCTCCTTTCTGAAAATCAGGTGCTGGCTATTGGGGCAGCATGCAACTCTGGGGACCATCCCTGACAGTACGGCTACAAGCGGCCCAAAAAGTTGTGAGCTGGCAGAATTACCTGGAGTGCGCATGTTTCGAAACTTCCTCGCGTCGCACTGTGGGACTGTTGACTGTTAGGTCTTAGGAGTGCCTGTGTCTTTGGGCGATGGCACCGGGAGCATTGGAGAATTCGGCCACGACAGACATTCCTGCTGCTTGCAACCTGAAAAATTATGGAAGCCATGCAAAGGCAATGCGATGGAGGTGCCTCTGCAGTTTCCCGAATCCGTTGAGCCTGCGACCGCCATCACAGGACCACGCGCCTAGCATGCAGTTGCAAAAACACTGATGGAAGCGCGGGGCAGAACTGGAACAATGATCATGGTAGTGCTGCGGCAGATGTCTGCCAGGCTGGAATTACCAAGGCCATCACAGCTTTGACCAATGCGAGTGACAGACATCTAAGTTGCCTCTGCTTGAGTTTGCTTCCGTCTGTACTCCCTGGAGGAAAAAAGACATCTTTGGAAGATGCCCTGGAGCAGATTCAACGAAGCCGCTTGGACCGCTTGAATACACCCCCTGGATGAGTTGGATACACATGTGCTGTCAAACATCCCCACCCCCTTAATAATTGTAAAATGGGGGGGGGGGGGGGTA